GAATTATTGTCGTTTTAGAAGGAAATTGCGTAGATTGAACGACGTCGTTTGAATTTTAACTTATGTTGATTTTCGAATATACGTATTCTAGGTCACGTTTTGGATATAAAATATGGAATGTAATAATGTAGTAATGATTGCACAGACACGAAAACATTTACAAGAAACTGATCTTCAGGTGTTACTATATATATAAAGGCCCGGCTACACGGTAGAGCTTCACCGCCAGCAAACACGCTTCAATAACATGTTGATGCGCTCTTATGTCTATCTTCAAACAGAACTGGTACATACGAAGTGGTACATCCACGTACACATTCATTTCATTGGCCGATAACATCCTTCTGCTGACATTGGGCGTTGAAAAACTGATTTGCCATATTACATGTCGTCAGTATTATGTGGAAATGGCGTAAGCGACGCGTCGCTTGCGTAGATTTATTTAAAACTTAAAGTTAATTAAAACCAAAATTGAATTTTAACATGACGTAAATATTTTAAAACAGTTGTTAAATCCTAAAACAAACTCCCTGAAAAAAATATACGAAAAAACACCGACGATGTGCTTATCAGACGGGTTACACCATGTTCTGTGGATTACACAGCAATGTCATTGAAACAGCAGTCAAAGTGTTTGGGGAAAAATGGCTGGCTTTTGAAGTTACAACTACAGTCTTTACAAAGATTATTTTTATTTTAAGTATATTATGAAGAAAATACGAAGAAAGAAATAGTGATGAAGAAAGTACCATGTTCCTTATATTAAACCAAATTACAAAAGACTATCCTGAAAATTCCACTAATTATGAATCCAAATTTTTTGTTTAAAATCACAATAATGTGATTTAAGTGAAGGTGAAAACATAAATATTGACTCCCGCCGCTTAAAAGACTATTTTAGAAAACCCAAACAAGAGAACTAAGTTATATAAGAGAAAGTGAAAACATACTGTATTAGAATCACAATGGAAAATATTTATTGAAGATCCCGGTAATTAAACGAAGACATGGCTCAAAGGACTTGTATATCCAAGCCAAAACTCTTAATAAACAAAGCGTTTGGACTAACAACTGACATTTTGAACTACTCACCAACAAACGAATCTGGACAGAACGTATTCATTCCGCAGTCAACAAAACGAATGACAGGGCCTTAAAATGGGATGCCACACGAACACAGATGTTCAGATGCGATGATGAGGTATATGTGAATACGAGTACATTTGACCTTCATTCACCTACTGTTGGATATCGGTCTCCTTTGACTATTTGACCTTACATTAAGGAAATTAGTTTCACAACATGAAGTCATATGACAATAACCGAAGTACACACGTGGAGGATTCTTGAGTTTGGAGACTCCCAAAAACCCCACAGGGTACGTACAGTTTGCACCCATTCGAGTCAATGGGCAAACTAAGCACAGTGCATTATAACAGTTAATCTTGCACCAAAGGTGTATCAAGAACAGACGTGAGGGCGGTATTAATAGCAGCATCAGATCACAAGCTAGATTTGGGGCAACGACTCCGTGGGTGGCTGAAGGAAATAGGCCGCTGGATTCAGTGTATAAACCGTAACACGGTTTATAATATTATACAATATTTACAATATTATTGGCACAATCTAGCCAAACAGCTGTGTAACAGCCGAATTTGGAACAAAAACAAGGTCCAGCTCTTCTCTATTTTCTAACGTTGATAAACTTTAGTTTTAAAGCTTTACTTAACAAAAATGTTCACTCAAATGATTTGTACAAAACCTTGTTGAAAAAAGTTGATCCGCTAATATCATTATTGTTAGAGATTCTTGTCAGAAAATCGAATTGTAATTGAATTATTCTCACCAAGCAACTTATGAAGCTTCTCTTTGTTTGATAACGTTATATAACATCGATTAGAATTTATAACAGACTTCCAATGGAAATGAAATGTTTAAATGGTGATAAATTTAAAGTTTGTTTAAAAAAATGGTTAATTGACAAAGTTTTTTACAATCTTAACGAATTTTATATAAAGACATCAAATATTTGACAACTGCATAACTAACTTAATTATAATTTAAATTTTTGACATTTAAGTTGTAATAAATTTTAATTGAATTGTAATTTTAAGACATTGTACGCCTGATTTGGGTAAGAATTGTGGATCTAATCACTTGTAAGTAACACCTGTATTTTACCAATTCATACAATAAATGTTTCTGATTTCTGATTTCTGATTATAATAAAGTATAAAGATAAGTTATATAACTTACCCTACCAAATAACATGTATCATTAATTCATAAGTGAAATTAATGATACATTTTTCTTATGCTGTAAGCAAGAAAGCCTTCAAATTTTATAAGAAAACCTATTTTTTGTATGGAACTGGAATGATATAGAGATGTTAAAATATTTCTAGAAGTATTTACGTTTGAATGTTTGTAGTCACATAATAATGTTAAATTTGCTACACGCATATTAATTAACTCTACATCGTCCCAAAATAGAGTACGTTATATATTGTACAGTCCGACGAGTATAATATGTTAATAAATGCTAATCAACAATCAAAGGGTCCTTCAAACAACTGTAAAAAGTTTCGTGCTCGAAAAATTTCCGTTTTATTTTAACAAAAATGAGCTCCGGCGGGATGGGACGAGACTGTTCATAAGGAAAATAAAAATTTCAAGCGCATTTCCTTTCTACAAATAGACTGTAAGGACGAAGCGCATCACCAAATAAGGCAGCGGGACTGTGACGTGAGTGTGTGCATTGTTACGTGAGTTCGTTACGTATGCTCGAAATTGCCTTGGACAACCGAATGTTATTGTAGATTTGTGTACGCATTTGCATAATAAAATGTAATTTCCTTGAGAAATGAAGACGTTATAGAGGTATTAACGAATGATCATGTCTAACATTTGCACAGTTTTTAAAACAGTTCCCGCAAGTTTATTTGGACTCTAGTTTATCTAGAGACTATACTGAAATGTGGGCTATTGCGTGCCAGTATTCAATAGTGGTGTGATACACCAGGGACTCCAATTCTGCGTAATTTTAAATCATCTCAGTTGTGTGTCGTAGAGTGTAAATGGCAGGCTTTTGTATGATTGGTATTCTGCTAAAAGTTAACAGAGACGCCTGTCATCGAGAAACTATTCAACTGCCATTGCAATTTTTTGGTGCCTATGCTGCTCGTCAATTGCGAGTCGATGGCGTAGTTACTAACTTAGTACTATTTGGCGTTTCTTTCGGTTCGTTATTACCAATGGTCGGAAAAAGGTGCTCCATATATATAGATATGGCTACAAGAAGCGACACAGAGTTGTTAAAACCACTTTAATAACTTTTTCAGATTCCGGATTTCCGGAAATGATTTTACTGCATCGTAAGACAAAACTACTGACCTAGAAAGTCGAAGTTGGATTTTAAACTAATTCTAATGGTGCCGTGTAAAAAAAAAGAAATAGACAGATGTACGATCCTGGGAGCGTTCAAGCACTTTTAACCGCTTGTGTTCAAAATGAGAATAATTACATTTTTTTATTATCGTTTTGTAATATCGGCAACTTTTCAATCATACTTTACAATTTGTCGTACGACAAAACTACATGTCATGTCTAGTCATTACCATTGAAATTAATAAGGTGAGTTTGTAATTTGATAACATAATTGGAACGTGTCTTGTATTCGTACATTTTCATTGATTGCATTAAAGTCAAATTTGGCACTATTTAAAAGTTATTTTACGACTTCCCGTCAATAAAATTTTTAAAATTATTAAAATTCCATTTAAAAATTGCATAATAACAAAATAACATTCATGTCAATAATTTATCAACAATACTTTAAAGATTGGGAACTCGAACTAAAATTTTCAAAAAACGCTCAATTGTTAATATATTTATTTATTGACAATTGGCTATAAAGATAACAAATAATTATGAAACTGAAAATATAATAAAACTTAAACGAAATTTCTTAAAAATGTAACAAATTCTAAAAATAAGTTAGTCAGAGTAACTTTTTTTAAATTGCTTATTTTTACAGATGAGACCGCCATTTGCGTGGTTTTGCGGTGAAATAAAAAAGTAACGAGAATGGTCACTTGCCGTCCCCCCCTAGCTTTAGATACCGCTCTTTGTCCTACGATACAGTAAAACCATTTTCGGAAATCCGAAATTCGAAAAAATTATTAAGTAATACTTGGTGCTTTTAATAACTCTATGTCGTTCCTTGTAGCTATGTATATACATGTATCTATATATGTGGAACAACATTTTGCGACCTTTCGTTATTACTTACAGTAATAAATATATAATGTATATAATAAGTAATAAAGGAGTTATATTTTATTTAAAAAAAAACATTTAATCTGAAGACTAAATTGCTGATTAAGCATGATAAAAATTAAGACATGCATAGTAATTTTCATGGTAGCTTTATTACGGCAACATCGATTGTTGGTGATTGAATGGATGAATGCCATCACTGCCGTTCCACTGATACTTACTCTATTGAGATCCAACTGCCATTGCAACTAGATTTAAGCAGAATAACAAATAATATTATAATTGCAATTTAATCTCAAAGGAGTCCCAATGGATTAAAATGACCAGTGATTTAAAAAAAATTAGTACACTTGGGACGTACACACTCAACATAGCCCCCACTAGGGAAACCCTGTGTCTCGAGTGCCATGGACACACACATAGACAAGCACAATATTACACCCAACTATAGAAATAAATGTAGGCCATACAAATATTTCTCCCGGCCCGTGAATCTAACCTGGGACCTCTGCGTGGCAGTCGTAGTAATGTAAGTGTAACCGTTCGACCAAGGAGGCAGTTTATGTGATTTTTTGTTTAGTTTTCTAATACCTAGTATTTCGCCATGATCAATGTATATAGGTGCTCCGAAACACGTACATACTGTACACTCTATCATGCCGAGGTCAAGTACAAAATAAGTATAATGTCTTATAATTACTAAAGAGGATATATATCACTTACCATCAGTGTGCTTTCCAGCAATGGGATCAGCTTCCATCACCATAGCGACTCACCCTGAAACAAATAAATAATATTTAACTCAATGCTCATTTTCCGCTACTCATTATCGTCACCTTACAATGGAAATTTTGGCAACCGTATCGTAATGAAATTTACATCTCCAGAATGACAAATGGAAAGGAATAAACCTATGAGCAATAATGACACGTAGTGCCCACCCACATAAGAGCTAAAATGGGACTACACGTTGCGAAGAATTACCAGTACACAAAGACCTCTGAAATATACAATTCTTTATTCCGTACCTATACGAAAAGCTTATATTATATTGACGTAGGTGTATTTTGCTTACAGTAACCATTTGTGTGTGGGTTACGAATCTAATTATAAAACCTATTAATGTTGAAAACGGTAGACGAAAACGCAAATATAACGAACGATACCTATATGTTAATAATTAGATGCCAAACATAATTTATGTGGTGCTAAATATTTGTTGCTACAAGTACATTGGCCACAAGATTTTTGGCATCTTACCTTCGTATTTGGTTAGAGTTTTTTTATGGTGCGTGGTCACGTGCTCAGCTTGTGACAAGTCTTATTTAGTCAGGACTAAAGATTGATGTGTTAAATAAGTCGTCTTTGTCAGTACCAGATCCTTTTAAGAAGATAATTGAAAAGAACATTAATTTACTTTTATTCAAGTAATAATTTATAATTAACACACGTAGAAAGAAAACTTTTTTTGAGATATTCCACAATCTTCAGAACTGATTTCTAATTATCCTTACATCATTTGATTGAAGTTTTTTTCTATACAAATGTGGACTTAAATTTTAATCCGAACGCAAAATGGCAAAATAAAAGAAAGATAATGCATTACCGAAGTTGTTAAAAGAGTATTAGCAATTACATAGGTACATAGTTCCATTTTTCAAATACCATTTCATTCCAATTCATTCACGGTCGAAACAAACAATTTGTTGATATCAACTGCATATTTGTACGATAGTGCAACAGCGATAAGGCAATTTCAATAGTTCTCTAATAAATTTTCATTTCTATTATCAATTACTAGCAGCAAAGATTAAAAATCAGTAAGATGAAGGACATGGAAGTGGTGGGTAAATGTCGGGAAAAGTTCCATTTACTTTCCCGACGACCGATATGAATATTTTTAAATACATTCAACGATGATCAAACATCACAATGGTAAATAACATTAAATATATGTTTCTAAAACTTGATGGATTTTTAAAATAATAAACACTGTTCTGAGTTACAACGTCAAAACAAACTATACAATAATATTTATCTATTTGCTACAGATTTTCTTACAGTAATCAATGCGTACTGTGCAGTACTACTGATAGTATCTATGTACCATATTTGTCTCATCAACGCATGAATTGCATGAGTCATAGTTATTATGGTACTGACGGTTTGGAATTAGGAAGTCCATTTAAAAGACTGACCTTTGCTTCACATGTGAGGCGAAATTTTACATAAATAAATTCGACGGTCGTTTTGCTCACGAGTTTATTTGATCAGAGCCGTCTTTAGCAGTAGCTCATAATGTTGCCGTAAAGTCATTGCTTCGCTGCCCTAAAACAAAATCCAATTTGTCAAGCGTGGTCCCAAGAGGCCCCGAGTACTGGTTAAATGCGGCACTGAATCTGCTCCATTTTTTATGGCTTACTCGTACAGTATTGTATTTATATACTTAACATTTCAATTTAATCTGTTTGTCGTACCATAGAGTACCTAAAATTATTAAGTGGACGATACAAGACCACAATTTAAATGCAAAAAACCCAAATTGTGTATTTTAAAGCTCCTGTCGTCAATTTATATTTTGATACTTCTTATTGTCTTGAAACGCAGCTTCTTGTAAGTAAAGATTAAAAGTAGGTTAAAAGCAAAATTCCTCGTTTCTAAGTTTACATTTTATACCTATATGGGTTACCATCGCTTTTATACGACATCCTAGTTGAAAAATATGCAGGAAATTCTTTAAAATAGTGACGTATTATAATTACATACACAGAATAATCCCGTCTTAAATTACTGAAATCTGCGCATCATAATTAGAACATTTTTACAATTGGATTAGTGCTTAATTCAATCATTTTAAAGTTTCGACGAGAATGTCCTTGTTTCTCGTTAATCCAAGGTCGTATACCAGCCGATGAGTTATACAATTTTAACGACGCCATTTACAACTGGACTAATATGACTGCTCTTGGTTGGTAAACATGCATTACGCAGGTATATAAATAAACACATACTATTCTTGCACACCATGGTAAATCAAAGATTTTATTAATTAGACGAATTTAGCTTTGTTTTAACCAAAAACAGGCCCAAAATATAACTTAGATACTAGGCCCAAAAGTTAAGAGTTCTGACCACTACTCGAGTAGGGGTTCAATTCACATTTTAACTAACATATAAAACCGACTTTTCTTAATTCTCGTCTGTGTTTCGTATAGGCCATACCTAGTTAAAACCGTTCCTTTGATATTGTCTTGCGCATATCTAACACATCTGAAGATGTCCTTACAAAAGCGAATTTTACATAAAAATCAGCAGATTAACACTGATTTAACAAGAAAACGTAAAGAAACTAATGTTTCTTAAGGTCAATTGACCAAAAAGAGGTTAACTCACCTTGCAATCTACAGCACCGTGCCATAGTATACATTCCATCATTATAGTCTACTTTGTTTATAGGCTATTGTTTAGTATTACAAGATTTTTTATTTCTGCAATAGAATAAACAATGGGCAGTGAGCATTGTAGTCTATGAAGTACATACAATTTAAATTGTTAGCCATTTAAAGAGCATAAACATAATGGAATTTGAAGGAAATATTTTAATGATTCTGAGCATTAATCTGCCCTATTTGTCATAAGTAACGCATTTGCATTTCGGTAAGTTTCGAGATGTTGGCACGTAAAGTTTTATCGTCACCTAAATATATTTTTTTTATAATACCATGTGACAGGACGGACAAGTCGTGCGCTTGATGGTAAGCTACAAGCTTTAAATCGCAAAGCTCTGAGGGACACTGCCACTGCGCCTTTTAGCCTGAGACATAAGTTGACAAGTCCCATGTGCCTGTAATTTCACCAGCACCCTTACTCTTGAAAACCGGAACATAGTAATGCTGACATTACTGCTTGGCGGCAGAAATAGCAAGGTGGCAGTACTCCCCTGGACGAACGAACTCTTTCACAAGGAGCTCTACTGCTACTAAAGAATAATCGGCTCTTATCTCAGTTAGTGTAGTAGTCAGTGGATTAAAGGACACAGCGGCTCACGTGGCAATGACGCAGCAGATGAACTAGCCAGAATAGGGTCGGAGACGGACGCTGTAGGACTAGAACCCATAGTGTCCCTCCCCTACCAATGGTCCAGAACAACTATACACAAAGGTACAAAAACTTCACATAATAATACATGGACCACCCTTACGGTTTGTAGACTGGCGAGGGAAGCACTCCCAACGCTCAATGCCAGTCTATCAGGTATATTAATTAAACTCAAAAGGCAAGAGCTTCGCACTCTAACTGCTGCCCTAACAGGTCATGGTCCATACAATAAACACCTTTTCAATTTAGGTATCACAGACAGCCCTCTATGCAGAGCGTGCATGGAGGGGGAGGTAACGGCTGCGCACATCCTACTCCAGTGCTCCGTCGTGGCCAACTACAGGGCAAAGTACCTTTGAGTGCCAAGGTCGCTCCCCGAGGTCTTCAGCAGACCGACGCGGCTGCTGAGATTCCTGGAGGAGCTTGGGTGGCACGAGTAGGACGCTGCACCCACCGCACGCAAAATAGGCGCCTTGACGTCGAGTTGCGGACACCAGCCCGTTACATCAAGTACCAAGTAGCGTAGGGATCCCATCGATAAAGTGACTTTAAATTTGGTATACTATGGAATTAACTAAAATAATGAAAATAACCTTGATCTGTCACTGCAACCAGGAGTCTGCATACTACCCAACTCCCCAGTTATAGACGACCGCAGTTATAGCGTTCAGGCTCATCGAATGGGTTTCGCTCATCGAATGGGTTTCGACGAGTACTTGGTTTGCAAATGGTGACTAAAGTCAGATGTTGGATCAGGAATGTGGACACATTAACTAAGCTTTATTAAATGTAGTTGAACTGCTGGACATGCTGGACTGCCACGCAGAGGTCCTGGGCTTGACTCCTAGGCCGAAAGAAATATGTGTATGACCTACATTTACTTCTCTGGGTGTATTTTGTGATTGTCTATGTGTGTGTCCATGGCACCCGCGACACAGGGTTTCCCTAGTGCGAGGCTATGAGCGGGTTGCGTTATTATTATTATTATAAATGTAGTATCACCGAGTTTGGTCTCGACGAGTAGTGGGTAGATGGGTGATTGTATTGAAATTTTAGATTTCTGTTTTGTAGCAGGGTTTTTAATTTTAAGTTTTCGCCGTATCGTATAAAAAATAAAAAAGCCGTGGTACCACCTCTCAGAGGTCGTGGTGAGTTCGAGTCCGGTCTCGCATCTCTGAGTTTTTCGGGATTTATGTGCGAAATTTAATTTGACATTTGCGATGAGCTTTTTTTTCGGTGAAGGAAAACATCGTGATGAAACCTGAACGTTGAAGAACGTTCACAAACTTCGGAAAACGTGTAAAAACCCTAATCCGTGTGGCGGACTACGGCCTCATCCTCGCGTGTGAGGAGACCCGCGTCTAGCAATAGGACGTATTTTTAATTGAATTGAATTTGAACAATATTATCAAAAGATATTTCTATAATGTTAATGCTTAAAGAAAGATTTTTAAGTATGTTATGTTTCGAAGTCTACTTAATTCCTTTACGTACGCTTTTACATAATGGTATGTTATAGTCATCATGGCGTCATGAATGTCAATTAGATAATAAATTAAGCATTCAGATGGTGTCTCAAGTGAAAGCTACCCGACATACGCCAGTATGAATAGTTGCATTGACTTTTACTTACCTGTTTCATAGTGAAATAAAGATGAATTTCTTCTATTGTTTTCACA